TCTAAAACTGCTATCACGTGGGGGAAAAAGTAGAACTCTGACCATTAAGAGTTATCTTAGACTTAATGCTTTGGTACATGTCGTATATAATAGAGTACATTTTGCCATTAATTTGGTTAAATAACATCTTGTTCCACAGTCCATTCCTCCAAACTTTATCGAATGCTTTTTCGAAATCAATGAAAATGCAGTAAAGGTGTTTTTTTCGTCACATTAGTAAGATTAATTAATGAGAACAATACAAAAATATGATCAATAGTTGAGTAAATCTTCCGAAATCCAGCTTGGTTTTCACATATCAAATTATACTCATCCGAGTACTTCTGGAGTCTTTCGTTCAGAATACTAGTAAAACATTTACCAAAGCAGCTAACAATAGTGATGGGTCTATAATGTTTAGGGGTCTTTAGACGACCCTTTATTCTTAAAAATTGAAACAATAGAGCCCCTTAGCCAGGTCTCTGGAAGTTTTCCAGTGCTAAAAACCACATTGAACAGTTTAACATATACATCTATCATTTTAACACAGAGTGTTTTATGTATTCGTTCGCTATGTGATCCTCTGAACAGGCCTTGCTATTTTTCAATAAATTTATGGCATGTTCAACTTCCTCCCTTGTTATCTCCCTAGTTAAAACACCATTAGCAGTTATCAAATGTACATCAATATGGTTATAAGGGGTCTCACCAACGTCAGCATTAAAATCTTAAAAAAACAATCCACAAGCAGATCAATTGATATATTATTTTTCCTTTTATTTTCTGTCTCCAGAAGAATCAATCTGATTAAAATCATATCCTACGTTCTCTACGTATCACGTACGTAGAGAACGTAGGATATGATTTTAATCAGATTGCAGAAGATTAAAAAAGTTTCCAAAAATCTTTAGGAATAATACTTCTCGTTTCTTTAATTTTACGTCTAAGATCCTTTCTGAAACGCTTAATGCTATCATCCATTGTACATTTATATGCTTTTTCTGACTCTTTGTTTTTCCTTTGACAATAACCATTTTGATGACGTCGGTATCGCCCTTCACAACGTCGATACAACGTTCTGGCATGTCTACAATTGCCATCAAACCAAGGTTTCGAACTCCTATTCGACTTCTTGTAGCTATAAGTTTGGGAGATTTTAAATGTACCTGATGTACGTTTGTATCTCACTACATTCAGACATCAGTATATCAACATTCAGGCCATTGACGTTATTGCATTGGTCAATCATATCTACAATATTCTGGATTTTATCGTCATCAAGATTTTCAATAAAAGCCTGTATTTTTGAAACGTCCCACTGCTTAATTCGTTCTGAATACACTGACTCATTATTACATGTATCGACATTGACAGGTGTACAATGTGCTCCCAAGTATGGTGAGCGGAAGTGGACAATGTGCGTCTGAAAATATTGAACTAAAATCTTAAACATGAAAGTCCTCAATGCATTTCAAAAGCTCTGAAGAACATATTGCATAAACATACAATACTTGAATTCTTACATGTTAATTTACCCATATTCCGATCTCCATCGACTCTGCCATTACAAATAAACAAATAATCATTAAATTTACAAAGATCTAGCAGTTGATTACGAAAATTCTTCTTGTGCAAATCTTTACCCTTTCTATGTTTATCGATATCATTCTGAATTCAAACCTATTTTTCATTACACTTTCAAAACCAGGCAGGTCAATAACATTTGCATTACCTGTTTTAGTTTCACATAAACATAACTTATCAAAATTATTTACAAGCTCACGAAATTCTGGGTATTGCACTTTTCTCAGAACACCATAAATATTTAGCATCAATATTTTAATATAACATAACGTAGTCGAACTTGTGACTATATTGGTCAATGTTTGCCCTCCAGCGCATTCCTGAGAAAAGTTCACGCGCTTGCGCTTAGAACGGGGTGGTTTGGTGGGCGTGTCTGAGGGTGTATCCGGGGCTTGTACAATGCACCATCTATATACAATTGGTCCTTGATCAACATCGTTTTCTTCCCTGATTTTCTTGCATCTTTCGATATAGGGTACAGTTTTTTCCTTCTTTTTTCAATAGTGTGTTCCTTTTAGTTTAAGTCTTTGTAGTAAAGAAATTTTGCAATAATTGAACTCGGTCTCGCACCGGCACGCCTATCCCGCTTTCCAATTTATAATATGTCTTTTTATATGTTTTTGTATTGTTCAACTAGTTGTTTATGTTGTTTTAGGGATTATCTTCAAATATATAATAAAACTAAAGAGGAGGTGAAATAAAGCGTCGAAGTACTTCGTTCAAAGCAGAACCCAAAAAGAGTCTCAATTGCGCATGAATACTTTCTATTTTTATTCAACAAATAAATATATCTCGTTACTAAACTACTAGACTTAACCTAGCGCCAGTACACTACTAGGCTTAACCAGCTGGTACACTGCTAGGCTTAACCAAGTGCCCTACTAGGCTTAACCTAGTACACTGCTAGACTTAACCTAGTACACGGCTAGACTTAATCTAGTACACTACTAGATTTAACGTAGTACACTACTAGACTTAACCTAGTACACTGCTAGACTTAACCTAGTACACTACTAGGCTTAACCTATCACACTTCTAGACTTAACCTAGTACACTGCTAGGCTTAACCTAGTACACTACTATGCTTAATCTAGTACACTGCTAGACTTATCCTAGGACTGCTAGACTTAACCTATTACACTACTAGGCTTAATCTAGTACACTACTAGGCTTAACCTAGTTCACTACTAGGCTTAACCTAGTACACTAATAGGCTTAACCTAGTACACTACTAGCCTTAATCTAGTACACTGCTAGACTTATCCTACGACTGCTATACTTAACCTAGTACACTACTGGGCTTAACCTAGTACACTACTAGGCTTTACCTAGTACACTACTAGGCTTAATCTAGTACGCTACTAGGCTTAACCTAGTACACTAATAGGCTTAACCTAGTACACTACTAGGCTTTACCTAGTACACTACTAGGCTTAATCTAGTCCACTGCTACACTTATCCTAGGACTGCTATACTTAACCTAGTACACTACTATGCTTAATCTAGTACACTGCTAGACTTATCCTAGGACTGCTATACTTAACCTGGTACACTACTAGGCTTAACCTATCACACTTCTAGACTTAACCTAGTACACTGCTAGGCATAACCTAGTACACTACTAGGCTTAAACTAGTACACTACTAGGCTTAATCTAGTCCACTGCTACACTTATCCTAGGACTGCTATACTTAGCCTAGTACACTACTAGGCTTAATCTAGTTCACTACTAGGCTTAACCTAGTACACTAATAGGCTTAACCTAGTACACTACTAGCCTTAATCTAGTACACTGCTAGACTTATCTTAGGACTGCTAGACTTAACCTAGTACACTGCTAGACTTAACCTAGTACACTACTAGGCTTAACCTATCACACTTCTAGACTTAACCTAGTACACTGATAGGCTTAACCTAGTACACTACTAGGCTTAATCTAGTACGCTACTAGGCTTAACCTAGTACACTAATAGGCTTAACCTAGTACACTACTAGCCTTAATCTAGTACACTGCTAGACTTATCTTAGGACTGCTAGACTTAACCTAGTACACTGCTAGACTTAAAAAGCTAATAAACCACTAGACTTAACCAAATACACTACTAGACTTAACCTAGTACACTCCTAGGCTTAACCTATCACACTTCTAGACTTAACCTAGTACACGTGTACTAGGTTAAGTCTAGAAGTGTGATAGGTTAAGCCTAGTAGTGTACCAGGTTAAGTATAGCAGTCCTAGGATAAGTCTAGCAGTGTACTAGGCTTAATCTAGTACACTGCTAGACTTATCCTAGGACTGCTAGACTTAACCTAGTACACTACTAGGCTTAATCTAGTACACTGCTAGACTTATCCTAGGACTGCTATACTTAACCTAGTACACTACTAGGCTTAACCTAGTACACTACTAGGCTTAACCTATCACACTACTAGACTTAACCTAGTACACTAATAGACTTAACCTAGTACACTACTAGGCTTTACCTATCACACTACTAGACTTAACCTAGTACACTAATAGACTTAACCTAGTACACTACTAGACTTAACCTATGACACTACTAGAGTTAACCTAGTACACTACTAGACTTAACCTAATACACTACTAGACTTAACCTAGTACACTACTAGACTTAACCTAGTACACTGCTAGACTTAAAAAGCTAATAAACCACTAGACTTAACCAAATACACTACTAGACTTAACCTAGTACACTACTAGTTACCTAGTACACTACTAGTTACCTAGTACACTACTAGACTAATCTAGTACACTACTAGACTTAACCTAGTACACTACTAGACTAACCTAGTACACTACTAGACTAACCTAGTACACTACTAGTTACCTAGTACACTACTAGACTTACCATAGTACACTACTAGACTTAACCAGCTAGTACACTACTAGACTTAACCAAATACACTACTAGACTTAACTTAGTACACTGTTAGATTTAACCAGCTAGTACACTACTAGGCTGAACCTTGTACACTACTAGACTTAACCAAATACACTACTAGACTTAACCAGCTAGTACACTACTAGGCTTACCCTAGTACACTACTAGACTAACCTAGTACACTACTAGACTTACCATAGTACACTACTAGACTTAACCTAGTACACTGTTAGACTTACCCTAGTACACTGTTAGACTTAACCTAGTACACTGTTAGACTTACCCTAGTACACTACTAGTTACCTTGTACCACTATTCTGATATATATGTGTATTTACCGTGTCGCATTTCGGTGCGGCTGGTCAATCATGTTGTGGTCAGTTATCGTTATAACTAGCTTTAAGGTATATCTGTCATTATATGTCCCTATCTCCGAATACTACGCGCCGTTGACTCGGAGGAGCCTGTCACCGGTTAACACTTATAGTAGGGTGATCACGGCCCCCCTACGCTGTAATACTACACATACTCTGATAAAGAAAAACAGTGCACGTTTGTTGCTTAAATGTGCATGGTATTCAATCACTTGGTAACTATATAGAGACACATCATTGAAGTGTGCATACTTTTCTCGTGGAATTTTCATTGAAGATGGAGCTACACGAAATCACGGTGGGTAAAAATGGGATCGACAACACCCTGCAGGTCAGCGGAGAGAAAAACGAGGGCTACGATATCGACGGTGATGTCATTACAGTAAGTATATACAGGGGTTATTACATAACACATTCACGTGTCTCTTCTCATGACTTCTTAATGCATTTTAATGCACGTTTTTCTTATTATTAGTGTCGCAATAGATCATCTATATATTTTGCTTCTACTGTTATGGGTTCCGGACGATTTCGTTTTGTTTCGGTGCCTGGTTGGTTCGTGTTTGTGTATTATGCCTTTATTTGTTACGTAAGTCTCGCCTTGACCTAGTTAGTAACAATAAATGCACCGCTTGGCTGGTTGTACAGGTATGATTGTGAGCATGGTATGGTTAATTACCTCTATTTTTCAAGTAAAAATTCCGTAGCACACCGCCCCTCTGCGCAGTAGAGTAATTATTCATCCCATTTGGTCTGCCGTTATTCATTGAAACAACTTCGAAACATTTTTTTATTCTGATGACAGTTAATAGTAAAGTGTTGAAGGGTTTCATTTGTAATCAGTTGAAAAAACTATTCTAAACATGCATAATGTTTCCTCCGAGATTCTCCTTAACTAACCGCATTTGTAAGTGACACATAAAAATATGTATAAATGTAAAAAGGTACGCGTATTGGGTAATATCCGGACCATCAAGAGTGATTAATATTAGTTGAAATAACTTGTTTCATAATTGTTGTAAAGTAAAGTTTACATATTACACAGATATCTCTGCATACAGTGATACAGAGACGGTACACGGGAGAGGAAGTACTGTAAATACCAAAAGGTACATATATATATTTCTCTTCTCATTAAAGTTTGTACATGAATACATTAGTAACTGTTTATGTATGAATTATCTTTTATTTTACATATAAAGAAGCAATTCAAATGTAAATTAAATCCTCTGTACCTTCAAACATCATTCGGAACACCTCGCCCCGATTACAGTTCCTTCTATCGAAGACAGAATCGGCCGATGAGTTCCGAGTTACACGAGCAATATCTCTCTGTTTTGCCGGCCGTTGATGACTGGTAGTCTTTCATTCGAAGATTATCACCAGGTTCGCGAAAGGGAAAAATAAAGCAAAGTTTGATCGAAAGCATAGGCAAGTTTGAATTTATAGAGAAGAAAGATAAGAAGGAGAGAAGAAAAAATAAAAGTAAGAAGGGAGAAAGTTTGAGTTTAGATGAGTAACTAGCTCCCTCCCCCTGTTTTATGTTTTACAAGAATTCGTGTACAGCTGGTAGTGCTCGCGATATTACATAATCGAGATTGGATATGCGTGTGCGTACGAGTTACGCCGAGTGTGCTGTATGAACTCTATTGACCTATAGCTATATATGACATAACATATTAAAATACGCTGCACTGTATAGTGTACATACATAATTGTGTGTTCTACAGAAATTTCTTTCGGGATAACTTCAATTTGGGCGTTAGGAGATACTTTTCGATATCGACGGTAGTTTTCTATGGAGTTATTGATTGCAGAGGATTTGAATTCGTGAATATAAATCTCCTAGCGAAATAACGTGATTAATAATCTCACGAAAGTATTTAAGTTATTAAAGTGACGATATCAAGTTTTATAAAAATTAAATGTATTATGGCTCTATCTAGCTACATATGTATAGAGGATATTAATCTGCAAATTTGCAACGTCGTTACGTTGTCTAGGACAATTTTAGTATCCTTATTATGCTGAACATCCATTGACGGTACGGGGGAGTATACACCTGTTGTCTTTCAACCCAGGTTATCACAAGAGACCTCAAATGCTAAAATCCCTACATAATTTGGGGTTCTCTTCCATGTCTTACACTTAGGAGACGACGGAGAATTGAAAAATGTCTTTATTACAACAACATCAGTAGCACATGTTGCATGTATTCTCTCTTCTCCAGGTAACCGTCTTTATATGACTGTAGATTTTGCGAGAGTTGGTATTGTTCGTTTGTGCGAGTAAAACGGTTGAGACACGTGTAGATACTGTTACAAATAATGTCATTTACTGAACATGAGTTAACACTGAAAAAAAGTAAGCCTACAAGTCGTGTTAGAAAACCTTGAAGATGACACCGATATAATAGGCATATACATCTGAAGTAACCATACGATACTTGTAGTACTATAAAGTAACGGGTTATTTTCTCCTGATATATTCATAAAAAGTACAAAATATGGAAGGTTTTATTGAAAGGCCAGTCGTGAAAAGGTAGGGGTTCACCTTCCTGAGGTATTCGTTTTTATCCGGGTACTCCGGTTTCCTCTCACATTAAATTCCACATCTACCACTACACAGTTAATATGTATGCAGATGATGCAGCTTGTCATGTCTCAGGTCCAAATAGTGCATTTATCAACGAAAAAATACAGTGATATGGAACACATTAGAAAATATTGTCATAATAAAGGAACGTATATAAATGTAGATAAGACCACCACTATGTTAATAGGTATACTGTAAATAAGCTGTCTAACAAAATGATATCTAAGTATATGTAGATAACATACCGATAACCAATGTTTCACAACAAACACTTCTAGGTGTGCATATTGATAACAACTTAACCTAGAATTTCCATATTGAAAACCTTTGTAAATCTCTAGCATCAAAAATATCCCTCTTGCATAGGCTAAAAAAGTTCCCACCTTTACAAGCTAGAAAGCTTTTCTATGTATCATATATCATGCCAGTTACGGATTATCGTTGTACTGTATGCGGATCTACTATACAGCAACATATAAACTATATAGTAAAACCTTAAAAATCGTGCAGCTAGACAAATTTCAAATGTCGATTATAAAACTCCTTCAAGGGAATCGTTTGCCACCTCAACTGGTCGCCATTTGATTAGAAAATTATGTACCACAAATGTATTCTTGTATATAAGACACCATCTTACATATCAGACACCATCTTACATATCAGACACCCTCTTACATATCAGACATGCTTGTTCCTGTTGATTCTAATAATAATACTCATGCTCTAAGATCAGCTACACATCAAAATTTGCAGTTACATGTACCAAAGCCNCTTGTTGTAGGTGGAGCCCTTTTTATCTAAAATTTTAACGAACTTTGAGTTGTTCTTGAGATATATGTTAATCTTTATGCTTGATTGATTGATTGATTGATAGGTTTTACGTCCGCTTCACTANGTAAAGTTTACATATTACACAGATATCTCTGCATACAGTGATACAGAGACGGTACACGGGAGAGGAAGTACTGTAAATACCAAAAGGTACATATATATATTTCTCTTCTCATTAAAGTTTGTACATGAATACATTAGTAACTGTTTATGTATGAATTATCTTTTATTTTACATATAAAGAAGCAATTCAAATGTAAATTAAATCCTCTGTACCTTCAAACATCATTCGGAACACCTCGCCCCGATTACAGTTCCTTCTATCGAAGACAGAATCGGCCGATGAGTTCCGAGTTACACGAGCAATATCTCTCTGTTTTGCCGGCCGTTGATGACTGGTAGTCTTTCATTCGAAGATTATCACCAGGTTCGCGAAAGGGAAAAATAAAGCAAAGTTTGATCGAAAGCATAGGCAAGTTTGAATTTATAGAGAAGAAAGATAAGAAGGAGAGAAGAAAAAATAAAAGTAAGAAGGGAGAAAGTTTGAGTTTAGATGAGTAACTAGCTCCCTCCCCCTGTTTTATGTTTTACAAGAATTCGTGTACAGCTGGTAGTGCTCGCGATATTACATAATCGAGATTGGATATGCGTGTGCGTACGAGTTACGCCGAGTGTGCTGTATGAACTCTATTGACCTATAGCTATATATGACATAACATATTAAAATACGCTGCACTGTATAGTGTACATACATAATTGTGTGTTCTACAGAAATTTCTTTCGGGATAACTTCAATTTGGGCGTTAGGAGATACTTTTCGATATCGACGGTAGTTTTCTATGGAGTTATTGATTGCAGAGGATTTGAATTCGTGAATATAAATCTCCTAGCGAAATAACGTGATTAATAATCTCACGAAAGTATTTAAGTTATTAAAGTGACGATATCAAGTTTTATAAAAATTAAATGTATTATGGCTCTATCTAGCTACATATGTATAGAGGATATTAATCTGCAAATTTGCAACGTCGTTACGTTGTCTAGGACAATTTTAGTATCCTTATTATGCTGAACATCCATTGACGGTACGGGGGAGTATACACCTGTTGTCTTTCAACCCAGGTTATCACAAGAGACCTCAAATGCTAAAATCCCTACATAATTTGGGGTTCTCTTCCATGTCTTACACTTAGGAGACGACGGAGAATTGAAAAATGTCTTTATTACAACAACATCAGTAGCACATGTTGCATGTATTCTCTCTTCTCCAGGTAACCGTCTTTATATGACTGTAGATTTTGCGAGAGTTGGTATTGTTCGTTTGTGCGAGTAAAACGGTTGAGACACGTGTAGATACTGTTACAAATAATGTCATTTACTGAACATGAGTTAACACTGAAAAAAAGTAAGCCTACAAGTCGTGTTAGAAAACCTTGAAGATGACACCGATATAATAGGCATATACATCTGAAGTAACCATACGATACTTGTAGTACTATAAAGTAACGGGTTATTTTCTCCTGATATATTCATAAAAAGTACAAAATATGGAAGGTTTTATTGAAAGGCCAGTCGTGAAAAGGTAGGGGTTCACCTTCCTGAGGTATTCGTTTTTATCCGGGTACTCCGGTTTCCTCTCACATTAAATTCCACATCTACCACTACACAGTTAATATGTATGCAGATGATGCAGCTTGTCATGTCTCAGGTCCAAATAGTGCATTTATCAACGAAAAAATACAGTGATATGGAACACATTAGAAAATATTGTCATAATAAAGGAACGTATATAAATGTAGATAAGACCACCACTATGTTAATAGGTATACTGTAAATAAGCTGTCTAACAAAATGATATCTAAGTATATGTAGATAACATACCGATAACCAATGTTTCACAACAAACACTTCTAGGTGTGCATATTGATAACAACTTAACCTAGAATTTCCATATTG